ACATCCTCGTCGGTGACGAGGATGTCAATCAAGCATTGACGGGTACAGTGCCTTGTTCCTCTCTGCAACTTTCCTCTGCTTTTACCACTTTCTCCGTAGTATGGTAGCCTACCAGGCTCTGTCCTGGTTAACCTCCCTGTTTTTATTTTATCCTAATGCTCTCTCTCCTCTGCGTAACACCGGTGAAACCAAGTAAAGAATGAAAATTAGACCAAATAATGAATAAAATAGATAGAGATAGTAAAAGAAAATAGTTCATTTTGCCCATATTTACATACAACATAAAATATGTCCACAAGGGAAAGGCAAAAATAGACTCGTACGTCTCCTGACGAGACATTCATCCCGTACTCACATGTTGGACAGCCAGGAGCAAAACCAGAGAAAATAAGTACAATGCTCCCGAAACACAAATATAGAAAAACCTAAAAAAATTAGGCACAATGCTCATTCACAGCTTATATAAATAATAATTAACAGTAGATTGCATTAGAACAAAAATTGTTCAAGGTTTAGATTGTTTGGCCTTAACAATTATACGAAGTTATAGAAATATACAAAGCTAGATATTTACACGTTCATCGCACTACAATTGTATATTTCAAGGAAGCAGGAACAGTTGCTCAGCTAATTTCTTAAAACATGACATACTTTAGTTCTGATTGGCCAATTCGATTAAGAATAGGTATGCAACAGAAATAACAAAAGAGGCAAAATATAGAAAAAAGAAAACAAACAGAGCAGGAAGTACTTGTGTATTATGCACCTGCACTTTGTTTGTCCACGCACGCGCAGTTATGCTTCCTGCCACAACAGCCAAACTCCGGGCCCACTGGCATGCATCAGTAAAAGACTCGCTCGCTGTATTCCGTGTCGAACGGTTGTGACAAAGCGATCTCCGGCGACAGCGCAGCTCTGGCTGACCGGCTCACCCTCCACCATATTCTGATGCCGTGAAGCTCTCGCTGAGTGGTACCCTGTCCTCGGACTCCTTAGACCGTGTCGCCATCTTTATCTGTCTTATTTTTACATCTCACTCTATCCTTTTTAATCATTCCTTACCCCCTTCCCTCGTGAGCCACTGTTGAGATGTCGCACTCTGACGCAGACAGTTATAGGGGCTCACGTGTATGTTCTTTTCTCGCATTGATGAATGACTCCCCCCCCCTCCCCCAGTAAAAGCTGTCAAATCGGAACGCATTTGAGTTGGGCGAAAGCGTATGCGAATTCTGTAGCTGTGACCTGGAGGCTTGATTTATATACAAATGAGCTGCCAAGTGTGGGCAATGCAAGCTTCTCGAATAAGAAAACGATTGTCAGGTCAAATCAACAGCAAACGAAATACGCCGAGTGTTGTTAGAACAATGATCGAAAAAGAATTTTCTTCGAGTGGACTGACAGCCTCCTCGTGGACAACTACAGTGACAATTTGAATACGATTTCTACAGTGGATTGGTCGTATAAGCGAGGTGACACAATCTTTCAATTCGATGCTCCAAAGTTTTGCGTACACGCTAGAACTCCTGGGCATATGAATGAGCTAACATTCCTTCGTCAGCTTCCTTATGAAATAGAATATTCCTATTAGCATTTAGCATAAGACACACACACACACACGTGTATATATATATATATAATATATATTATATATATATATATATATATATATATATATATATATATATCTATATAATAAAGAAATAAAGGAGCACACTTAGGAAAATTGGGTAGTTTTTTACTCTACGTTTTGGCCATGGCACGGCCTTCGTCAGGATTCAATGCGAAGGCCGCGTTGACGAAGGCCGTGCCATGGCCGAAGCGTAGAGTAAAAACTATCCAATTTTCCTAACTGTGCTCCTATATAAATATATGTGCTCCTTATATATATATATATATATTATATATATATATATATATATATATATATATATATATATCTATATATATATATATATATATATAATATATATATATATATATGTATATATATGTAAGGTCGTAGGTTCGATTCTGCTCACAGTTGGTAACTTTTTCATCCACTTTTCTTTCTTCTTATTTACATTCCATTGGTTCTAATAACTTCCCCTGTACATTCCTTGGCATTACTGTCTGTTATATCTCATTAATATAGTGTTAAAACACGGAAAAACGAGCCCTTAGGTATACACTTCTTTCCCTTATATATATATATATATATATATATATATATGTGTGTGTGTGTGTATGTGTATGTGTGTGTGTGTGTGGTGTGTGTGTGTGTGTGTGTGTGTGTGTACGTATTAACTATATCCTATCATATAAAAAGTGTGCTCAGTAAAGGCAGGTCCGGAGCGTCTGCTATATTTACTGCTGCACTGATTAGCAAGTGAACTTGCCTGCTTCAAGGTATTGCTTGCTAGAACTATGGTGTTCCCTTAAGGCAGATGCGCCACATTGATCGAATGAATCATCTGAATGTCAATGAAAGGTATACCCTCGTCTAGATAACTCTATAGACATAGTGAAATAAAACAGTGCGCAGCTTCTTTAGACAAAGGCAAGGTGATAATTTGGAAAAGCGCAAGCAGAAAAAAACGCGATTCAGTTTGTCCTGCGTTGTCTCCTAACTTCAACCGGTAGTTGGCTAATTTATTCTTCAACGCCTGTATCTACGGCACAAAATGTTACCTCTAATTACTCGTGTATTTAGGTCTTTCAGAGAAAGATCTTAAATAAGACATTACCCATAGTCCTTCATATAGAATTCCCAATGCATTTTCTGGAAAAAACCATATATACACGATTTAAAGGGTGGAAGGACGTCCTAAAATGCCTATGCTGTGGCAATGCTTATAGTAGTAAAACTGACTGTGTTATAGGAATTCACAGTCTTGCTGCATAGGTGCATAGATTTGCTTTTTATTTTGCAAGGTATGTGTTGGCTTTCATGCATGCAGCATATGCATAAATTTAGCATCTGAGAGCCTTACAATCAAGATGAGGCTGCATGCGACAATGAGAGTTTACAGCAGCTTTGTACATTGTCGAGTTTCTGATTTTGTTATAGGTCCACGCTTCTGGTGTGAATGAAAAAGAAATGACCAAGTGTTACCTGTGCTGCTGAGTACAAAAACCTGACGAAGAAGAAGAAATGTTCATGTGAAAATGGCTTGCCTAAATATGAATCTCTTAAACGTGGAGCAGTACATGCACTATGTACACTGGGAAGACAATCTCTAATCATTGTATACTGTTCCTTTAATTTTTGCACAAAAGTTTAGTATAATAAACTTGATCAGGTACGAGTGACGATGGTGACCAACCTCTGCCCTGCTAGCATATTCCGGAACTGGGGTGTAGCCGGAAACAATTTTCCGAGGAGAAGGAGTTTAAATCATACTTTATATACATCCCCTCGTGTTTTTCGTATGTATGCGTGTGTGTATAGGCTAAATTCACAAGGAGGCTGCCATTTTTCCACCGCAGCTCCTTCCGACATTCTGCGATGTTTCGCCATCGCGTCATTAATCAAAATGCTATTTTGGTTGGAAGAGGTTGAAGGTTGAACTGTCCTTCGGTGCGTCACCTTTCGCGCGGTGATCAGGGAGTTCTGTAAAAGGTTAGCCATTCGGGAAATGTATTGTTCGGTGGCGATGTTGGCCACCCGCCACTGAGCCCAACATGGGGACGCTGCAAGGTAGAATACTTGAGGTCACCAGCCGTGCATCTCTGCTATAACCAAATATAACTACCCAAGGGTGGCCAACTACGCAAGTTTAATCCTAGCTGCCAGGAAACTTGTAAGTAAGCGGAAGAGAGGAGATGACAGGAAGATAAAGTGTGAGAATGAAAGAAAAAGATGTAGGGAGACGCGGGAAAAGGCGACTGCCAATTTCCTGTCAATGGGTCAGCCCAGGGATGCGCCTACGTGAAGCTGGGGAAAAAGGGTTGTGTTGCCTCTGCCAGGGGGCCTTCAATGTTCAAGCACCCAGCGTCGGCTCAACCCCCAGGATCCCTTTTTCCCCGGACAGCGCTAAAGCTACCCTTGGTGAGGCGTGGGAGGTAGTCGAATGCGCTCGTTGGCTTGGATCCGTGGTGACGTCACTCACCAAATACGTGCTTGCGCAAATGCCCTTGCGGGACCTTAGCCTTCGCATTTGCTTTGTGGTCGTGGGGATAAGAATCCCTAAATCAGTGTCTTCACGACAGGAATAATATAATGTTTGTTCCGCTGAGTAGAGATATGGTGTTTTGAGTTAGCGTGCTGCCGTGCAAGGTGCTATGTGGGCAACCAATGGGGACGCACCACGGCGACGCTATTGCATAACTAGCGCTGTGATGCGGTGGCGGCTTTGCTTCCAGCCACAAAGGAGAATGAAGGAACGAATCTGACAGACGTAGAATATTTGAGAGGCCCAAAGATATATATAGTGTATACGTGGGAAAGCGTCCGGACGCACGTGTGAAGCAAGCAGCCCTACACCTTGTGTGGCGTAGGATCACAACTCTCTTTACTAAGCAGACCGACGGGTCCCGTTGAAGAGCGCGTATTTGCAATGCCTTTGAGTGAAACTTTGGAGGCGTTGTCCCTGCCGATAGCATAAAGGCATCTCCAGTTCACGGAACATAGATGAAGTATTCATATACCATTCCTTATTCATCCAGACAACGATCACTACGCATTTGATTACTAAAAAAATCTTACAAGCCAGGCAGGCGCACTGCGCACAGCAATTATCGAAGGATTTCATCATTTTCAACACCGAGTGCGTGCGCATTTGTGAGTATCAGTTCGAAGAACGGAACGCATCATGGGCGTTTCATCGAACACTTTTATAACTTGTAAACGTAATTCTTCAGAGCATCACTGGATGGTGGACACTAAAACAGCACGAGGTATCTGCTTTTCGCGTGGATATTTTTATTATCACTATAACCTTCACTATCGCAGCTGTTAAGCTAAGCCCCGCCTCCTAAAAGGCCTTATAAAATGGACCAACTTGCCCTCACATTCCATGGTAGACAGCTTTTAGTCGATCGCTTTAAGCAAGACCATATTCCCCCGAGGAAAACCACAGTGCTCCGATTACCATGTTCAAGTTAACCCTACTTCTGCTTCTCTGCACGGCAATAATCAGCGTGCGTACGCTGGACCTTTTCAATGACTGCGTGTGGGACGCGGACAAGATAAAGGAGCCGTACAGATGTATGTTTATACCACTGGAGGAGGTATACGCATACATTCCGTACTACATAAGGCTAGCCTGAGGCCGTACTGCAGCAACACGCAAACCAGCTGAAGCCCGAAGTACCTCAACACTTTCTACAACGTGACACGAGTCGCAGTCAAGGTGAGATTATTATTTTTGATGTCCTACTTTTCGGTTTCGATAGCTAGGGTATAAGTTCCGCTTTAGTATAGTTTCTGGCTGCACAGCGTACACGATGTAGGTAGCCATGTGGCCAAGGTGTGCTGTGTGCGATGGTGCTCATTAGAATCCGGGCCGCGGCAGCAGCATTTCACTGCAGTCAATAAAACCCGTTTAAACTGTTCTTGAAACGTCCTGTGTCAGAATTCTAATACCGTATAAAGTTGTAGTTCACTTGGCATGATTCAGTGAATCAAATTCTTTAAACGTCCGCGTAAACAAGGCGAGCTTCTCGGCTTCACGCCTAAATATCAACAAGGCAGTTCTAGCAGAATATATATAGATTTCAAGATTGTGCTTACGTTATCGCTGTTGGTGCTTTTACGCCGTACGGATAAACTATGGCAACAGCCACCCTAGGAGCGGGCTTCGGGAACTTTGACTAGCATGTGTTTTTTTCCTGTGCACCCTGATCTGGTCACGCGGGTCTCTAGCATTGCCCAACGAGGGCAATGTGGCCGCTGAGGCTAAAATTAAATCACCTGAGCTTAGGGTAAGTGGTCGATCATTATAACCATACACAACACCACCACAGCTGGTTGATTTGCAGGCTTCGTTGTTAGAACTACACCGAGACAAGACCGACGAAACTTAGCCCTCTTCAATATCTTCATTTTGTGTATGCTGTCAACTATAATATTCTCTTTTTAGATTTGTGACATTTCTTAACCATTTCTTATTTAAAATATATACATCCGTAAGTGGGACTTCTACTGCATCAGTTTCTACGTTCCTTTCTGCAAAAAAATTATAAAAAATAAGATAAGTCGTGCACTTCCAGCTACTCTAAAGTATGCCTTGCTGGGTTCATTGTCCCAAGCGCGACGACTATTGAAATACGTGCTATTTTTGTATTTCTTTGAATTTCCGGAATATTTTACTTGTTCCTCTCGGTCCGAAGACCACGTCGATTCCTCTTTATTGGTTATGCCTTATCGTCACCCTGTTTCTGTGATCGCAATCGAACCCCAGTCGCACCAAGCACAGGGTTGCTTAAAAACTGTGCTTTAGGAGTTATTCATAAGCAGCTCATGACACATTTACATGTTAATACTTGTTGGGCAAGGAGGTTAACAATAGAGTGCATAATAGCGAAAACTTGCAGAAAGACAAATTCTTGAAACCAAGCAGAGGGGAGCAGCAAGATAGGTCTTTCAGTCTCCTACCACGCTTCTATTTTTTAAATTATCTTTTTCTAAGCCCGAATTATTCCCCATTCATACATGACGTGTGACGCCCGAAGGCATTTTTGCAGTCGGATCTGGTGCGGGCACTTAACAACTTCCTTTTAGCATTACACTGGCGTTTTCTTTGAGAAGAATATTTTCCGGTTTTATTTCTTTACAGCTCGCTGAAGGGAAGCGACCTTGTGGTATCTAGTACTTTTTTATGACTGTTCCGGACCTTCGGTCTACCCATGCCGCGTACAACACTGATTTACGAAATAATTTCGTACGAATAGCGTTCGGAGTCACTTTTGCAGATACGGTCAGTTTGCAAGAATTTCGCTGTAGCATAGCATTACATTAGAATACCGGATACGTAGACGCAAAAGCAGCAATCGTGCTGACATTTCGAAAAGCAAAGTTTCTCCCAAACTCGCATGTCCTATTCCAATATGAAGTTGGGTAAAACCTAGCTCTTAATTTCAATGGTGCAGATTTCTTGTCGGACTTAAAATATTATCAAGCTGTTTCCTAACGCATAGTCTCGGAGAGTGTATCTGGCTGCTATCCCTGCCGGAGCTGATCACGGAGGCCTCCTATCACGCTTTCTGCTTCACGAAACCGACTGCCTATGCCTCAGTGAACTTTTTCACTCCTCTTGCATTCTTGTCGTTCATTATACGCCTCAGACTTGTTCACGAAATGCGAAACTGTTTGGCTGCATGAACGTATTTCAAGCAATGTTACGCCTCCTCCTCTATAGATGGTGTCGTTCTGTCAATCTTGGCTATATTCCTATTAATGCCATTCTCTTTTGTTTTAGAATCGAGGCCAGCTGCAGGTAGGAGCCACCCTTCTCATGGAGTTTATGACAACCCAGAGTACCTGCTTTCGTCAATGCCACTTCTCTGTTTTCATGTGCCCGCCAAACGACAACAAGGTAAGAACATCTTGGGCAGTATTAAGTTTGTGTTCTAATTCATCCCCCGTAGAGCGTTTATTCATGCCATTTCCTATTACGGCCACAAATTTATAGCTCCTTGGAAATCTACACGTGAGCTACAATTTGCAATCGAAAGACGCGGAAGTGCCCTTTACAAACTGTATGTCACTTAGTAGTAACTGCTGAAGGTCAGGTTGGCCCAGTAGCCATCATGTAGCCTCCTCCTACCTAAAATACCAGCTAGCAGGACCTTGCATCTTTAAAATGTGGTGCAAGCCGAAGCAATTTCAGATAGTTTTGATTATTGAGACAGCATCTTGCACTGCCAAAGCCGTAGTCAACTGATGACATCAGGGAAGCCAGATTAAAGGAGCAGGAGTGGCCACAGTTACAGCTAAGCGGTCCCAGTCAACGAGCTGAGACGCACACGTTCACAGAACGCTAGCACAGCCAGCGATCTTGCGAGCGTCTCTCATTTCGCATTCTGAGGCAAGCGTGCGCAGCGTCCCACTGTTGTCTAACGAAATCCTCGGCTACAATCCTGTTGTGCAAGTGGGTCGGCAATGTAGGCGTGTGAGGCTGGTTCATTTTCTCCGTGATATGGGGCACCTAAGAATTTTGCCTAAAAATACACACTGCAGGCATAGTTGTGTCGTTTATTATGGTGTCCATGTCTTAGTTGCTTTGTTTTCAAGACCATGACGAACTAGGCCAGCTCCTGATACTTGCAGAAATGGGTCGTAGGCTCGAAGCTGGCTCTCAACAGCTTGTAACAATCAAGCTTTGCAATCGCTCACAAACTTTAGACGCAAGCCCTGCTGACATCAAGCTGCATCTGTCACACGTATTGCTATGCGCTGATAGTCGTAGCTCTATGTGTATTTGGTTGATAACCTTGCGTAGCACTTGCAAGGTATGTTAGGCTAATGAAATTGCAGCACTCTCCGATAAATTGCAATGCCGCACACAATTGTATGTAGACGTTCACGAACATTTTGATCAGCGAGATCAGATGTTATGTTAGTGGCAGAAAATAGGACGTTGTTAGAACGTGCACGTCCAACAGGCACAACAAGCGCAGGAGGACCAATAAAGGCGGCCTGTACGATGTACTTTTGCTTTCGTTCTTCGTACACTATTGTTGTAACCGTTTGTCATACGTGGCAGGCTGCTCGTTGCAGCCTTGCCTATCAGGACCATGCTTATCTAGGTGACTTCCGATCGCACTGGTGGCACTTATTGCTGGTTTTGCGACACCGTTTACCACGCTGTCTCGCGAACAGACTTTTAGGCAACATTCTCACTTGGCTAAGCTAAACCTTTCGTCACTGGATTAAATAAGTGGGAATGAGGACCATATGCCATCTCCTATCGCACACAAGTGTAGTACATACAAAATTGTACTTGCATTGAGCATCCGAGCAGCTGCTTCAGGGGGAGTTTTTTTTTCTGAAATATGCAATGACCAACGCCGTAGTAATACTTTGCTTCACATAGCAATGTCACATGCTCATTGCTTGTGCTACAATGCAAGCATGAAAGGAAGCTTATCGCTGAACAGCATTCACTGCTACGCGTTTGGAAGCTCTATACACGTGTGATATGTTTCCGTACATGAATGTTTCTTACGGCACCCTGAGTGTTAGTAAATGGCCATGCCATTTACTATGCTCACCAACAAAATATTTTTTTGTTCTTAGGCTGCCTGGTATACCCGCATTCAAACTATTGCACTAAAGCTGCCATAACTACTTTGTTGGAAAACAGAAACGTGCATAGTCTACCAACCCTGTAGGACTATTATAGTCGCACTTTCCAAGGCTTTTCAATTTCACTGCCATCGTTTAGGGTAAAATGAAAATGCCTTGCATTGCGGTTGTTATGCGCCGTGGGTCCCAGAACGTACCAACTTGTGTCATTTATCGTTCCAGGTGAATGGGGTGTGCAGGGCATCGTTCTACCTGCGTAGTGGCGTCTTCATTGTCGAACAATCTTGGTGTCATCCCATGGGAAGCGTACGTATACCGCTTTCATCATAGCAGCTCGCACCTGGGTACATTCGGGCCTGATTTGGTTTTGCTCTCGTTGATATTTTATTCTTAAACTTCACTATTATAGTTCTTGCCACTTCACGATACGTATGCTCAGATTAGGGTGTACGTTCTGCGCACAGTATTGTGTACCTAGTCATATACTCTTCCATTTAATAACATCCGAGATAATTCATTCATTCAGAGTATTTCGTTCTGTGTACCTCCAAGCACAATTCTGAACGCCTAGCTCCGGTATATTCTTTCTCACTTCCTCAAGTGCGGAATAAAATACAACCGAAGGTTCGTTGCACAATGTGTTTTGTCAATTTGACTTCTTAAATGCATTACTTTTCTTTATCACAACGGAACTGAAATGTCTGAGGGCAGGGCATGTCTTATATCTTCCTTCATAATTTCTTTTTTTTGAAGGGGGGAGGGGGTACTTCTGCTTTGTTTTATGCTACTCTGTTACTAAACGAAGTATCACAGGATTAATCTCCACTGCTGAAAGTAAATTACAATGAAGACGAAATGCTCCAGTCACTTTTAGATTCAGGTGCGTGTTTGAGACCCGAAGGTGATCACTATTTGCACCTTTGCAGCGCATCTAACAGTCTTCTCGTGGTTTCGTGACGTTTCTTGTCATCAATCGATTAAAACTGCCTTATGTGTAACGCTGCTTTAAAAAAAGATCTTTCTTTTCAGGCTAAGCGGCCTTCGAAGCCGGAATCCTCGTCTGTGACCCCCTGAAGCGCACCTGCGCCAGGCGAGAGAGCCACAGACATTGATATGCAATAAAGTGTGAAACACGCATCTGGTATTGACTCCTTCAATAACCGCATCAGAATGTTGTTATTACATCCATAGATTATTAGATCACACGGCTTTATTGAGAGGGACACCTTGTTCTACTGTTTCTTTACTTTGCAGGCAGGGGGCTGGGGGTGGGGGGGGGCTGCACACCCTTGCTATCGGATTCTGAGTTGCTCTCAAAAATAGAAGGGAAGAAAGCACTAGAAATAGAGGAAGCATATTTTGTTGACACATTGGGCGAGACATGCATAGCCTGCACTGACTTGAAATATTTGACCGCCTGCCCCTAATTTTTTTGTTTCTAATGTGACTTGTGACCGATTTTTTTCACACATATATATTTTTGGTTGATAGTTTGCGCTTGTTCGTCTCTCGTGTTTATACTGCGCTAAAGATACCGTAGGAATGAACCAACAAGCCACTCTACTGAGTGGGTTCTACGACAATTTCGATCTCGCAAACAGTTCTCGGATACAAAAAGTGTTCAAGGCAAAGAGGTGTGACTGCGTGAGTGATTGCAGTCTTCTGCGCCAAACTGTATGGGCATTCTATGCGAACCATTTCACTCGTTGCTTTGTCGAAGCATCGACATTGACTTTATCGCCGCAACCCGCTAACTCGGTAGAAAAAAAAAACCTTGGCCGCGTTACGTTATACTGGAGCGTTAAAAAAAAATCTGGGGTGGTTGCCACGCCGAAGCAGATGCGTCTATTCAGACTAGCCTTAAACAGCAAAGGACACCTGAAACTTCTTGTCAGAGCTCCAGGCGCCTAGATAAGATCTGATTGAGCGTAACTATACCAGCGTCACAAACTAAATAAACTGCCGTGTTTGGAAAAAACAATGCCGCCACTACAGTGAGTATACAGAGGTACATGTCCTACACTTTAGCCTTCTCCGTTGCGCCCAGAAGGCGGAGCGCTGGCTAGGAATACTTGTTGGATAAATTATGCTTTGACCAACAAATTTTCGAATGTTACGACTGAGAATTCTATTAAGCCTGGTTTTCAGGCTGACTAACACATGGTCTTTCCTGGCTTATAAATAAAATAGTTCCACATATTTCGGCATGTTTGACATCACTTCATGTTTATAGGATGTCTGGTATTTCCTTCGTAGCTGCTCACGACGCCTTAGCCGCAATCTCGTGCTCGGCTTGTGCGAGCATTTTCAACCGCTGAAGCTGGCAAGTGGAGTTATCTTTTTTTTCGCCAAATTTCTTGCATAGTTATGACAGCATTGCACTCTATGTGTGAAATGAACTGTAGTCGAATATGCCGAAGCAAAATAGAACTGGACTGCAGGTCGTGGCACAATGTTCGCCCATACGTATCAGTTATGCAGTCTAAGGAGTATTATTATTGTTCGTCTTATTCTGTGCGGACTAAATCAAGAAATTGGATGCCCATCAACGTCACCACCAGCGGGGTACTTTGCTCCATACTCCAGCACAACTAGCGGTCAAGCCAGCATCGAGCACGGAAGCCACTGCAACGTGCTAACAATGGTCCATACCACGTCATTTATTAGGACAAGCATTTGACATGAAAATACAGAGCATGTCTACACAGCCTAGAGCTTCACCGACCCTAATAAGATTGACCCATGCGTTGTGTGCAGACGCAAGAAGTGCCTGTTTAAATCTATGAAGTTCATGCCTCTGTAATTTTTATGCGTCTGGCATACTTTTACTTTTTCGCTGCGGTAGCCTTGTTAGCCACAACGGGACACGACACCCTTGATAACACATTTCTGGAAAAAAAAAACTGGTTGCCTCGATAAGGAGATGACATGCACCAGTCATCTCAGTGTCGCCTGCTGCTGCGACATTGCATAAAGAGCATTCAGTAGTTCGCGTGAAGGGCACTTGTGGCGTTCTGCTGCAAAATGTTCAATTGTTGTGGTTTTGTTACCAATATAATGGCAAAACGTAGCATTGCAGCTCTCGGGTAAGCCTTCAGTTAACAGATTTTGTTCTTTTTCATCAGTGCCTACCACTGACTGGTCTAGTGGCTAAAGCACTCAGTTGCTGAACCGCAGGTCGCGGGATCCATTGATTGATGATTCATATGTGGGGTTTAACGTCCCAAAAGCACTATATGATTATGAGAGACGCCGTAGTGGAGCGCTCCGGAAACTTCGACCACCTGGGGTTCTTTAACGTGCACCCAAATCTGAGCACACGGGCCTACAACATTTCCGCCTCCATCGGAAATGCAGCCGCCGCAGCCGGGATTCAAACCCGCGACCTGCGGGTCAGCAGCAGAGTACCTTAGCCACTGGAAGGCAGTTCGGCGGCAGTGCACGAACCGGGCGCAACACGGACGCGGGTCGCGTCGCCACCACTTTGGTCATCGTGGTTCTGCGCCTGCGCTTGGAGTTTCACGTGACCTGGACGTTTCACGTGACCTGGACCTGGAAAACGCTTAAAAAGACGGCATCGCCGAGTGGACCACACAGTTCAGCGGCAGTGCACGAACCGGACGCGACACGGACGCGGGTCGCGTCGCCACCACTTTGGTCATCGTGGTTCTGCGCCTGCGCTTGGAGTTTCACGTGACCTGGACGTTTCACGTGACCTGGACCTGGAAAACGCTTAAAAAGACGGCATCACCGAGTGGACCACGCAGTTCGGCGGCAGTGCACGAACTGGACGCGACACGGACGCGGGTCGCGTCGCCACCACTTTGGTCATCGTGGTTCTGCGCCTGCGCTTGGAGTTTCACGTGACCTGGACGTTTCACGTGACCTGGACCTGGAAAACGCTTAAAAAGACGGCATCGCCGAGTGGACCACGCAGTTCAGCGGCAGTGCACGAACCGGACGCGACACGGACGCGGGTCGCGTCGCCACCACTTAGGTCATCGTGGTTCTGCGCCTGCGCTTGGAGTTTCACGTGACCTGGACGTTTCCCGTGACCTGGACCTGGAAAACGCTTAAAAAGACGGCATCGCCGAGTGGACCACGCAGTTCAGCGGCAGTGCACGAACCGGACGCGACACGGACGCGGGTCGCGTCGCCACCACTTTGGTCATCGTGGTTCTGCGCCTGCGCTTGGATTTTCACGTGACCTGGACGTTTCACGTGACCTGGACCTGGAAAACGCCTAAAAAGACGGCATCGCCGAGTGGACCACGCAGTTCGGCGGCAGTGCACGAACCGGACGCGACACGGACGCGGGTCGCGTCGCCACCACTTTGGTCATCGTGGTTCTGCGCCTGCGCTTGGAGTTTCACGTGACCTGGACGTTTCACGTGACCTGGACCTGGAAAACGCTTAAAAAGACGGCATCGCCGAGTGGACCACGCAGTTCAGCGGCAGTGCACGAACCGGACGCGACACGGACGCGGGTCGCGTCGCCACCACTTTGGTCATCGTGGTTCTGCGCCTGCGCTTGGAGTTTCACGTGACCTGGACGTTTCACGTGACCTGGACCTGGAAAACGCTTAAAAAGACGGCATCGCCGAGTGGACCACGCAGTTCGGCGGCAGTGCACAAACCGGACGCAACGTAACAAATCTTCTGCTTTTGCAGGTGAGAAACATTGTTACTCACGTCTAAGTTTGCTCCTGTGCCTGTGCACTGCTGCCGAACACAGCGTGAAGTGTATTTGCTTTGAGTGAAGTGTTCTTGTTTTGCTATGGGAAAGGATTCCGCAAAAAGTGCGGGGAAAGACGCGGAAAAGGACGCAGCAGATGTAAAGGATTTAAAAGAGCTGTCAAAGGCATTTGAAAATTTCAAACGCGATTTCAGAAGTGAGATTCGGGAAATTAAAGACAGCTTAGCCTTTTGCTCTGACACCTGCAGTGAGGTGAAAGATGTAGCCACTGATCTTAAGAATATGAGAGCTGAAATGCAAGAGCTCATAAGACAAAACATGGAATTGAAAGCGGAAAAAAAGAGACTGTCACAAAAATGCGATGAGCTCGAACAATATCAGCGCCTAAACAATCTTGAGATAAAGGGTGCGCCGGTCGGGAATGATCCAGTGAATGTTGTAAGAAAGATAAGCGAAGCTGTCGGCACGGCAGTTGATCTGTCTGATATTGACGCATGCCACTGGATTCCCACTCCTAAGCCTGGTGTGAAGAAAATAATCGTTCGTTTTGTAAAAAGAACAAAACGTGACGACATACTGGCGAAATGTAGAAAGAAGAGGCTCGATAGTTCTATGCTTGGGGATGACAAAAAAACGCCCATTTTTGTAAATGAGCATTTGACGCAGAAGGGCAAGGTATTGCTTGCAGCGGCAATACAAAAAAAGAAAGAAACTCGGGAACATTTTTTTCAGCTAGTTTAGAACATAGATTGGACCACTGTTTAGAGACAAGAAAATCCTGATGATGCTTATAACACATTCATGACGTTATTGAGTACTAGCTATAATGCGGCATTTCCACTTCAGAAGCGCTCACGTGGCAGAAATAAGAAATGCAGAAAGCCTTAGATAAATTGCGATTTTTACGTCGCATAAAATTAAAGAATAAATTTTATCATGATTTCATCCGTTCGCGGAACACAGACGCCTTAGCTGAGTACAAGAAATACAGAAACGTTTTAAATTCAGAAATACGGAAGGCTAAACAGAACTACTATAAAAAATTATTTGAAAGCATTTACAATGACCAGAGCAAGCTATGGGAGGTCATAAATGGGCTTACGAACAGAAATAAGGGTTGTAATAGGACACAGGACCTAACATTTAATGGTCAGATTTTCAGTGGTGAAAGGTTGGCCAATGTCATGAATGAACATTTCATAAATGCGGGTTTCTTTATTTTAACGGATGAAAAGCGAGATAATGCTCCATCTCTTGATAAGTCTCCTTTGCCGTATTCTATTTTTCTCGCACTCCCAGATCCGGTTGAAGTAGAAAGAATAATCAGAAAACTTAAAAACAATGTTGCATCAGGGATTGATGAGATAGGTTGTGTTGAGTTAAAAATGGTGTAACCTTTGATATCTAATGTCTTGGCCTATATTATCAACCTCATCCTCAC